TATATATATATATATATATATATATATATATATATATATAGATTTGTATTTTCCGGATTTTTCAGGAAAGTCCACTTTCATCTGAATTGTTCATGTTACGCCATCGGTGCAAGTATTTTGCTAACAACGACCGCCCACCACTGATCAATCAGCAACTGATTCATTTAGCTCACAGGGTGAAATTGAATCACGCAGATAATTTTTGTTGCCACGTCGTCTGAGTCACAGAGTCGAGATACAGCACGTCGTCTCAGCCGTGGGCGGACAGCGTCGACTTTGGCGATACGGTGACCTTCGTCGTGCGAGACCTGAGCGGCTTCCAGAAATTCCTCCATCAAGGATTTAGCATTTTTATCGAGCAGGAAAAGGTAAGGGACGGCAAAATGAGACCCTTTGAGAAGGGGGAGGGGAGTGATACTTATACCCCTTTCCCACTGAAATTAGTGGGTAGCAGTGATCCGTGGCGACGCAACCAATTGGCATATTGTCGCTTTCCCATTGACCAACAGAAGGCGATTCTGCGCCCCTCCAACCCCTTCCACCACTTTGCGTCTGGTTACGTCACCACGCTGTGATTGCGTAGATGATAGTGCGACAGATTTCTTGGTGGTAAACAAAGCAACATGGAAGCGAGCGTTCTTTCTTTTATCATGCTTTTTACTGTCCTCAAAATGGTCGAAAAGCAGTGGAGGATCAACTCTTTGCTACTATTGAGACAACAGCTTAAGGGGCGATCTCCTAGCTTTGTTGTGGGGGCGTGCTATATACGAGGCCGATGACGCATCGCGTTCCGCCCTATGTCATCACGTAATTCCCGGGAAGTCCCGTGTTAGGCTTTCAAACTGCAAGCGGAGGCGATAACAACCCGCCTCCGATGGCGTGCTGGTGGACACGGATCGACATGGATCGACACTGGCCAGTGAGCCTTTCCCACTCCCCAAAAAAGCGTGTTTACCCGTGGTTTTGCGGCAGTGGGAAAGGGGTACTAGACACATATACTCGGACAAGTACTGCTTTAACTCTTGTACACAAGGCTTACAAGAATAATAAAATACTCTGTAATGTACTAAACCCATGTTGAAGTCTTTTGTACACCGTTGACATCTACAGAGGGGGGAAAAAAACCCAACAAGGCCACTGTATTTTGACAAAGTTTTCAAATGTACGGAGAGCTGTTTTCAAATGGAGGACTTCAAAACACCGAAGCAATGTTTTTGAGCACCGTCACTGCAAAGACAAAAATCTGCTTTTTCATCCGACTTTCAGATCCTGTCGTGGCCTACAGAGGCTTCAGACGACGCACCCGGGCAAGGAGTCGCAGACAATAAAGGGAAAAAAGTGAGTATCATTTTCTTCATACTCGTGGAGGTCAAAAAAAAAAAGAAAAAAAGGACAGTCAGGTCACACTGAGGCCAGTGTGGGAGAGCAGGGCTCAAAGTACGTTATGCGGCTGATAATAAAACTAAAAGAAATGAAGATATTGAAGTGGGAAAATTAGGGCACATAATATATATATTAGGTACGGAATTTGGTGTTGCCAAAAAAAAAATAAACAACCTAAATTTGGAACGTGAACGTAGCTAGCATCAATGTCCGAAACGTTCAAAGCCCAGAAGTGCAAAACACAATAAACACAAAAGCAACTTAAAAAAAAAAAGCACAAAAAAACATCAAAAACAATAAAATAGCAAATGGAAAAAAAAAAACAAAAAGCTAAAGACAACAGCAAATGAAAAAGACAAACAAATAAAACAAGAAATTGTGCAAAGTGAGTTTTGAAACATAGGAACAGGTTATATTTTTGTTCTGCAAAATGCAACATTATTTGAACATTAAGTTGAATTAACGCATAGTCCCCGCCTCCCCATGACGTCTAAAGGCGTCAATCACGTTTTTTCATGGGGGAGGGTGCAAGAGAGTCTGAGGCAACTTCTCACTGAAGGAGCAGGCTTGACTGCAATGTTAAATAGGAAAAAATGGCCAGCAGGTGGCAATGGTGCAAAAGTCCACCATTGTTCAATTTGCATTTTTGTTCATAGTTCAATAGTTTTGTTATGTGCAAATAAATTATTTTGCTATAAATTTTTTTTTGGGAATATTTTGTAGGAGGAACACATTATTGAGGTCTTTGAGCTGTCACAAAAGCAAAAAAATAGTGTCAAACTTGAAATGATGCTTGAAATGCATGCTTTTACAAAAAGCTCATTTTCTCTCGCGAGTGTGAACGGCTCATTTTGCTAAAGTAATTGAGAGCCAAAAATGGGTTGCGAATAATCATGAATCCAAAAAGTTGAATTTGAAATTTTGTTCCACAAAATGTACCATTAAATTCTAAATGTTAAGAATGTGAAAGTCAACAACACCTCAAAGGTTGCGCATAGAGTGAAGCTTTGCATTTTGCCGTGGTTTGAGAAATGCAGATGACAACCCAAAATGGGGCAGATTTGTCTTTATTATAATAACCCCCACAAAAAAAGTGGGGTTTGAGTTTTTGTGGCACAAAACGTATGAAAGGACAAAACTGTCGGAAGTGTGACAAGCTCACACCAAGCGAATGAGCCCGACACTTAAACGGGAATGGTTTGAGAAACGTGAAATTAGTCGATGGTCCAAAGGGGAAACTTGGTGCGCACACTTCAGGCCAAGACGAAAGACAAGCGAAAAAAAACGGTGGTGGAGCTGGTTGCCGACCCGCCCGTGACTACGGTGGTGGCGTCCTCGCACGTGCCCCTGCACGGCCTTCTGAGCGGATACCCAAAAGTGGACGTCCTCTGCGACTTCGGCCCCCTACACAAAGATCCTCCACCGGAAGACGCGGCGGCCGCAACAGATGAGGCGAGTCGCTCTGCGCTTTACGTTTTGTCCGCTGGAGCGAAAGCGTGCCGTTGACGTGGTGACTGTTGTGTTGTTGATTTTCGAAGGTCGCGGGCATGGACAACAAAGCCAAGGACGATTCCAAGAAGAAAGGAGGCCGTGCTGGAAACAAGAAAACGGCGACCGCCAAAGGTGATTCTGACGAGGACGCCGGGCGCAATATTTGGTGCACCTCCACCATCCCAACCGGCAGCAGCAAAGAAATTCCACCTCCACACAAATTAGTTGAAATAGCTTGTATACAGATTCAATGTATTTTATACAGATTCAATGTATTTAACAGTTTTTTTTTGAAACACAGGCCACGTTTGAAGAAAATCGTAATATTGATTAAATGAAAAGAATCGTTTCAAATATTTTATTTCACAGTTTTGTATTTCACTGTCAAATACTCGACGTGAAAATATTTTACTAGTTTCGAAGCGCGTCTTCTTTTTTTTTTACATGTATTTAGCTCATGTCGTTTTTACCTCGGAATATTTTAATAATCTTTTGAATATTTTACAAGATAAAAATATAATTTTTTCCCCTCAAAAATGTTACTATTTATGGGTTTTGAAAGGTTAAAAAAAATAAGTGTGCGATGGCTTTTAGGATGTATGCAAATGTCATTGTTTTATATAGCCCAATTTTTTTTTTTTTTTTGTATGTGTAAAAGTTGAAAAAAATTCACATCCCAAAAACATTCTTTAAAAGATACAAACATTTGTTGCCGACGTCCCTCACGTCACGTCCGGTGAGCGCAAGCGTGTCAAGTTTGGCCTCGTTGGATCCAGTAGCTCCTTTTTGTCTGTCCAGGGACGCGGCGAGGCGAGGACGGCGACGCCGACACACCCACCCGAGCCGAGACGGCTACGCTGGAGCTGAGCGTGGAGCTGAAAAAGTGGCGCCACGCCTCTGAGGTGGCGCCGCTGGGGCGCGCCACCGCCTCCTGAGCCAAAACGCGCCCTCGCCTTCATTTCAACACGCAACTTTTATTCACTTGTACAGAAAAGCCAAAGTAGAAAGAAGAAGCAAGGAAGTGCGTTTCAAGTGTTCTGTCCTGCATGCACCCCACCACAGGTCCAATAAAAAAGTATTTCCAGCCATAGAAAAACGTGTCCTTCATATAGAATCATTTTGGACTTATATTTCTGTATCTCTATATACACACTACTCACCAAAAAGTTTGGGATATTGCGAAACCTCAATGAATCTAAAATGCACTCCAACCTTTGCAGGCCAACTTCATTCGGCCCGTTGCTCATTTCCAAACCGTCTGTGACACCTCCGGTCTCGCCAAATGGAGCTCCCCTGCCGGATTATGTTGAATTTTAGGTTGAGCCAAACATGTCGGCCAAATATCCCGACCCTTTTTTTGGCGATCAGTGTGACAAGATGTGCAAACGCCGAAGCATTTTAGCCCTCGAGACGCTTTTGGACGGAAAAGCCCAGGCCGGCCCGCGGCGTTCAGAAGGTGCGGTCGTCGTTGCAGTCGTGGCTCCAGTGGCCGAACACCTCGCAGACGTTGCAGTAGGGCCGCTCGGCGCCCTTGCTGCCGTGATAGGCGGTGTGGGGCGGCGAGTCGGGCGCCTGCGCCTGGGCCGGGCAGTCCTCCGTGTCGTGGAGGTCGAAGCAGTCGCAGATGTCGCAGAACACTCGGGGAGGGGGCTTCGTTTTCTTCTTCTTCTTCTTTTTCTTCTTGCTGCTTTCCTTGTCCTCCCTACACAATGCAGGAAGGGAACATCTTTTTTTTTTTTTTGTCTCGAATTAAATGTAACAGTCTCGTATTTTGCTGTTCCTTTTGAATAATCGCTGACGCATATCCTTGAGCGGTGTCTTAATTGTGACAGAAACCTTGATGGCATTTTGTGTTACTGACCCGTCAAAGTCGTCAAAGTCGTCCGGCTCGCTGGTGTTGTTGCCGTTGAGGGCGGCGGCGGCCATTTTCTCCATCTGGTCCTTGAGGTCCAAGTTGTCCTTGCGCAGGCCAACGATGACAGAATTCAGGAAGTCAATCTGAAAACGACAATAATTAAATGATGGTTCCAAAAAACACATTTTACTAGGGATGGGCATTTATTTTCGATCAACAGTTTGATTGATTGCGAGGACGAATAACGATCGCTACTTGATTGACTGTCGTTCCTTTTCATTTTTGGGGTTTTTTAATGAATGGGCCTCTACGTTTCACTCAATGAAATTAATCAAGGCATTTAAAAAATTTAAATCGACATATTCATACAATTGTGTCGTGATAAAATGCATTAAAATTATTTTTGTATATGGGTGAAACACTTGACGTAAATGATTATTGCATCGACTGCACATTACTTGAAAAAGGAAAAAAAAATCTCTTATTTTTTATGTATTTAAAATACAACCTCCTCATTTTATCCATTAAAAAATGCTACAGCGGGGAGAAACAACAGTCTACATAATTGTAAAATGACATCGAAATTATTGACTAAAAAGATTAAATCAACTTAAAAAAATTAAATAAACCATAAACTTGAAATCTACACATGTATAAAATGACCAATGTTTACGATAAAATGAAAACAGTACAATGCTAAATGATAAAATCTCATCTATGGAGAAAAATGATACCCATATGCAATTACTTCAGAATGTGTACGGCAACAGATTGAAAAATGCCCATCCCTAAACATGGTCCTTTTGAATCAAGTGATAATGGCGAGCGTGAGCCCAAACAAAGACAAATGAGTGGTGAGCACCCCAACACATATGGCAACCCCGTGATGACTTCACACAAAGGGGACATATTATGGAAAAAAAACATGTATACTTTTAAAAATGTTTCCATACAAATAATGGACTCTCTGGAGTTGCCCCACCCAACGACTTGGCAGCTAGGCAGGCTTAAGTTGCGGAACTAAAAGAAGCACGACCGTGCCGAAGTACAAAAGGTAAGCAGAGCTGCAATGTTAGCACAGATTGGCATGAGCTAACAGTGGGTGTTTGGCCACGTCATGCGCCAGCATAACCGGCGAGTATGATACGGCGCTCCCTCGGTTTTAAAATTCAAAGGGGGAATGAGGGGGCGGGCAAAAAAAAACACAATACGTCTCCTTTAAGTGACACATGCGCGCATGCATGAGTGAAGCTGACAAGAAACATGAACAAACCGCTGCCTGATGGTGCTGCAGCATTGCAGACAGAGCACAGCATTTGGGTGGAAGGAGAGGAAGAAAATAACAGGTTCAAATTAGAATACAACACACGGACGGGCACACACAAAATGGCACAGTGTGACATTTCCGAAGGTGCGCGGGCTCGACTTTAGGCACACTTGCACACTCGAATGAAACCCAATCATCCCCGCAAACTGACAAGGTCCATTTTGAGGGGTCTTAGGAAAGAGGAAAAAATATTACAATTTTTGATGATTGGGGAGGGGGGGGGACAAAAAAAAAAATACTACCCACCCACCCCAAAAAAAAAGAGAAAAACTCACAAATATTAGATTAAAACGGGAAAATTTCAAGAAATACGAAAAATAATTATTGGACAAAACACAAAAAATAGAACAATTATAAAAACTCCATGTAGATTTGTAAAATAAATTTGACCCCGCCCCAAATTTTTTTAAATTGAAAGAACGCACAAAAGAGCGCTTTTGATGTGATTGCACAAGTGTAACTAAAGAAGTGGCCTGCGTGACTAATTCAGTTGAGCCTGTTCGAAAATGTGACACTGAAACAATCAACACTCGACTCCTGTTACAAGCCGCTTGGTTCCATACGACCGCCCCCAAAATACGAGCGCTCGTTTTGGAAAAAAAGCGTGGCATTCGGGGCAGGGTAGGGAAGCAAAAGTTGACACACAACTCGCTTCTTTGGATCCACTCCGAGCTTTTGTCCCGAAAGACGTCGCCTACCTCGGCCTCCGTGTCCTTGTTCCTCGGTCGGTCGCCGACGGCGTCACCTGCACACGCCAAAGTGTCACACAAGCCTATCCGCCGCTGATATGAATTATTCAAGCATCCTGGGTGGGGAGCGCACCTGAGGGAACGGCGGCCAGCTCCTGCTCCAGCTTCTCCACTCGCTGCTTGAGCTGAGCTTTGTCCTGCTCCAAGGCAGCCATGGCGGTCTGCAAGGTATCCCCCGAGGCACTTTGGCCACGCGCGGCGGCCAGCTGAGGAAGACCATGACGTGATTAGTCATCTATCCGTCCCACAAAACTAAAGAGGATATTATATATTGTTCTTATCAAAAGTAGAAGTATCTAACGCAGTATCAGAGAACACAAAAATCAGACAAAAACTACGAAGTGAAGGTTTACCGCGAATCTGGCTCACCTCCGTCTTGAGGGCTTCAATCTGCTCCTCCTTCTCCGACACTAAGGCACGGTTTTTACCAACAGACTTCTGGAACTCGGCGTTCTCTTTGTCCATCTTCTCCTTCAAAGTGCTCTCACTAGCCACGCGAGCCCCCAAAAACCAACAACAACGTTTAGTACACGAACAATTCCTCGCCTTTTGATTCCACACCTTTCATTCAAGAAATTGAGACTAAGTGGAAACCAAAAAATATGAGCAGAAATTAACAATGGAATACCTGAAGGCATAACATGGTAGGCTTGGAGAAAAATACAAAGGGGCATTATTCAGTGCTTTTAAGAAAGCAGAAAAGAATGAAGAAATGTGTGTTCACGCCGTACCTTTGTTTCAACTCCTTTAACTGTGCTTGGAGTTTTGAGCGCTCGTCCTTGAGCTGAGTGGGAGGAAAGAAAAATGCATGTAAAATATGCAGATGCTACAATTACAATTGAAAAGCGGCGAAAATTTTAATGTCTCAATTATACTGGCCGTTAGGACCAGTCGTCCCCCCAAAAATAAATACAATTAAAAAGAACACAAAAATAGACAAAAGCATTCGGAAATAGAAAAATATGGGACGATTTTTTGTGTGCGTACACACACACACACACACACACACACACACACACACACAGAAAAATATAAAAATATAAGACACAAAAATATACATTTCTTGACAAAAATATGCCCAAAAGTAAAAAAAAAAAAAAAAAAAAATCAAACAATGTAATTCTTTCTTTATTCCTTTGGATTGGCATGTGTGTACCAATTTTCCCTTGACGTGTATCCTCAACTATGACAGAGGTGCATGACAAGCGGGGCGCTTTTGAGCATTCTGAAACATATGTCCCACCTTGATAAGTTCACTGTGGTCCTGGTGATTGTTCTCAATATCCTGAGTCAGCTTGTCCTTCTCGTTTTGGAGCGACTCCAGGGTGCGCGACTTGACTGACACCGCCTCCTTGAGCTCCTTGCTGGAGGAAAAAAAAAACAAAAAAAAAAAACCCCCGGCCTTTGTATGTTGTTGAACATTCAATTTGGACAGCGAGTGAAAAATGTCGGAAATAGTAATGAACAAAATGCAAGGGGTGCAAGGTGCTCACATTTCCCGGGTGAGACTGTCCAGCTTCTGGCTGTCGGCACCAAGTTGCTCTTTGGATGCTGTCAGCTCTTGCTGGTACTTTGATTTGTCTTGCTTTAGCTCATCCATCTGAAAAGACGATGAATGCAAGCCAATCAAGAACTAGACCAAAATACAGAAAAATAAATAAACACAGCGGTGTCTTGAAATTATTCTCAACTCCTATCATTAAAAAAAAAAACAAACAAACAAAAAAAAAAAAAAAAACCTGAAATTGAAAAGTTGTGATCATCTTTTGTTGGTTTGCTGTTGTGGTCTACAGCACACCAATTAGGATCAGTCAAAAAGCAACGACTACTTTCAGACCCGAAATAGTGCGGTAACAATAACGCTTGCTATGTGAATGAATGAATCAACAAATTAATCAATTTCTCAATTCTTGGCTAACTGCTCTTTTTTTTTTTCTTTTGGAATGCCTAAATTTTACCTGTGCCTCCATCTCTCGTTTGGAAGAACGAAGACCCTCCAACAGAAGTTGAGCTTCACTCTTCTCTCGAAGCAAGGCATCTCTCTCCTCCGTCAACTGCTTGAGCACTTCGGCAGTCTGGCCGGACGCCTCAGAGGCCTGCAGCGAGCGGGGAGCACCATGAACATGTTTTTTTTTTTTAAGAATTCTGTGCAACCGACCACGCGACGCAGATGAGACGACGGCTTGGTCCGGGGCCCATCAATCTCATTTTGGTCAATTGCAGAACGCATTCAGATCATACGCAGCGAACCCCCGCTAAATTGTGGCTTTTTATGCCATCGTGGGTTTTGGTTGTCGGATATTCTGCTTGTTTGCGTTGCTGCGCCGTGCGTGCTTGAGTAGTTTGTTTTCCACCAGCGCATCTGTCGCGTTTCCCATCATGTTAGCATGAAGTTAGCGTAACTTTCATTGGGCCAAATTAAATGGTTTGGTTCAACAATTTGGGTGTGGAATGTCTCCCTCGCCACAAACGGGGGTTCACTGTGCGTATATTACTGGCGGGACAAACGACATACGAGACAAGTAAATTATTTGCTACAACAAGAAGTGTACATAAAGATATGACCCGTGGACTCAGAACGGACACACAAGTGCAAATGAATGCTAATCAGACATTTGAGTCGGTACACCTGTCCAAACAAGAGCTGTGTCACAATAATCCGCATTCAGGCCGACAATGTGGAGTGGATTTCGGAATGTGGAGATTAGGTATTACTTTAGCAAAAACGCCACTTCTGACACAGCTCTCGTACGCGATGCTACTCAGATTCGTGTCAGGGCCTTTTGTGTTCATTTAGCAAAAAGCCCAATCATATTGATCATGTCCAAAAAGTCTCCTCACACCATTGAACAACTAACTTCATTGTAAAATCAAATTCCTAGACCATGGGTGGAGGTTATGACAAAATACGGAGGTGATTTTGAGGGTTATTTTCCCCTTTATCGCACTTATTAATTTTATTGTGCCTTGCGCAAATTGACGGACGTGATAGTCGATGACGCCCATACTGATTTCTACAGTTTTGCCGCGTCTGCGTAACGAGATTTAAAAATATATATATTTTAAATAAGCCACAATACGAATTGCGCATGTACAACTGTTCAATGTTTCAGCCCCTTTTGCACAACTTTATGTTCCGCATAAGGAGCTAAATGGACAAATTCATCCACATCTATGTCTTTCTGTGACTCCTCCAGACTGTCTATATCCCTGTTGATGTTTCACCCCAAACCCCAAACTTTTTGAGAGTATACAAAGAGTATCTCAACTCCTTTTGCGATTACCAAAAAAAAAAATAATAATAATAATAATTGCAAAGAGACTTTGTGGACATAGATTTTGGTTCCAACATAGAAGTGGAGGTTTTTAAACCATCGATTGCGCCGAAACACCTCAAGACAGAAGAGTCGTTGCTTGCGTTATAAGCCCACAGGAAGGAAAGGAAGGGTCGCAAAGACAGGGTGCTACGTATGGTGAGTATGTGGAGGATGAAAGTGAAGAAAATTGTATCAAAGGCCAAAGTGGAAGGAAGACAAAGCATGCAGTGACGGAGGCAGGTGACATTGGCCCGGCAATATTTTAAGGTGCGTTTGCAGAGTAGAGGAACTAGCGGCGGCAACTATACGGAGGAATACCTCAAGCTGCTTAGCAATGGTATGTTTAAGTTGGGACTGGAGCTGGTCTCTCTCGGCGACGGCCTCCCGGTGCCGCTTCTCCAGGGCGGCCTCACCCGCACGGAGGGTCTTGACGTCCTCCTGGAACTTCTCGAGCTCGACGGTCAGCCGTGATTTCTCCGCAAGCCATTGGGAAACGTCCTGCTCCGAGCGACTGCGTCCGGCTAGGAGCTCCTGCTTCTCCGTTTCCAGCGCAGACGCGCGCTTCTCAGTCTCGTCCAGTTTGGATAAAAGCTCTCGCTTGTCTTCAGACAAGCGAAGGGTCACCTGCTCTTGTTCCTTCAGATTTGCTTTTGCCAAATCACTTTCTGCCGTTAAAAACGTATGTCGCTCCCCTGCGCTCTTAAGCTGAGAGGACATGTCGTCGCTAGCCTGCCGAAGTTGTGACAAGGTGGTCTGCAGCTCCTCCGTTTGCGCGGCCATGCGAGTCCGTTCATTGGATTCCACCTGGAGCTGCTTCTCCAGATCACGCTTGGCCTCGGAAAACGACGCCGTCTGCTTTTTTAGTTGCAGGATCTCTTTGAGGAGCTGCTTTTTTTTAGTCTCCGACGACGCCACGTTTTTCGTGAGTTCCTCAACTCGCCCTTTAAGTTCCACGGTGGATTTCTCAACGCCGCTTTCGAGCTCGCTGCGTCCTCGGGCAAGCTCGGCATTGGCCTTTTCTAGGAGTTCAATTTCGGAGCAACGTTTCTCCAGGTCACTCTCCAGCTCGGCCTTTTCTTTTTTTAGCGACGCCAACTCGGCTACGACAGACTTTTTCTCGCAAGCGGCTTCCTTGAGCATCCCTTCTAGACGAGACTTCTCCTGACTAATATCGCCTTGAGCTCTGGAGAAGCTGTCCAATTGGTCCTTTGTTTCTCGGATGTCGCACACTAGCTTGTCCCGCTCTAGCAATAGGGCGCTAACCTCGGCTGTGGCCTTCAAGTGCTTTGCTTCCATTTCGCCCTTCTCCACCGCCAGAAACTCGTAATCTGTCTTTTGTTGCTCGAGCGTCGACTCGAGGGTCAGTTTCTCTTTCCTCAGCGCATGCAGAGCCTCGGAGTTTTCAGAATTCTGTGCGTGAAAGGTCTGCCTCTCTTGCTCCAAAGTTGCAGACACCTCGTTCAGCTTTTTGCCGGACAGAGTCAATTGCTGGGCAGAGACTTCAATCTTCTCCTTCAGCTCTTCAATGTCTTTGACCAGCTCCTCCTTCTCCTGTAAAACTTTCCTATGGGCGGCGAGCAAGTCCTCCTTCTCCTGCAGGAGGTGAAGCCTTTCGGAATCCGTCACCTGGCTGCTGGTCTTGAACTCCTCCAGCATCTGGACCAAGCTGAGGCGGGATGCTTTCAGGTCTTCGCATTCACGGACGGAGCTGTCCAGCTCTTTCTTGGCAAGGTTTAGCTTATTCTGGAGTTCCTCTTTCGCCGCCACGAGATTGTTTTTGTCCTTCGTGACGGCGCTGATTTCGGAGGACATGTTAGCCTTCTCTTTGCTTAGCATTTCTGCGCGAGCCTGCAGCTGGGTGTTCTTCATTGTCAGATCTTCTTTCTCCAAGTTAAGAGACTGCAGCTTGGCTTGCAACTCTGCGTTCTTGGCATCCAGAGACTTTTTGGCCTTTTTGGCCACATCGAGCTCCGAGATGAGCTGCTTGTTCTCGCACCCGAGTTTAGACCGGCTCTGGTTGAGGTCCTCCTCCAGCCTGCTGCGCTCTTTGCAGACATTTTCGTAGTCCTCCAGAAGCTGCTTCTTACTACTTTCAGCTTGATGAGCATCCTGCTGGTGTTTGAGCAGCGTGGCATCCTTCTCCTCGTTTTGTTTCCTGAGATCCTCGATATCAGACCGCTGTTTGATATTGGCGCTCTTCAGGTCGGTATTTTCAGTCTGTGCCTCCTGGAAACAATTTTTGAGCTTCTCCAACTGGTCGTTCAGTGACGTTCTTTCTTCCTCGGTACGCTTGTTGCTGTCGAGTAATTCATCCCTTTCCTTTGAGAGCTTCTCAATGGTAACGCGGAGGTCCTTATTCTGGATAGAATGATCCTGGAGAGCAGAAAGCTTGCTCTGCGCTTCTGAGAGCAGCGTCTCCAATTTGCATTTCTCAACGTGGGCATCCTCTCTATCCTGACACTTGCGCTCCAGCTCTACAGTCTGCGCTTCCAGCTTTGCGGACAAGCATTCAACATCATGCTTGGAGGACTCTAGCTCAGCGGAAAGATGCTGGGGAAATCAAGTTGATAGAGGGAGGTGGGTGTTAAAAAAAAAAAAAAAAGAGGGCATCTAGGCAAAGTTGCACAAAAAGAAAATGTATGATGATTCCAAAATAAACCAAGCTAATATGTATGAATGCAAAAACAAAGTTTAAGCTGCAGAAGTCAAAGACAGACACCCCAGCTCACCACCGAAACCACGCTCAATAGGCATATAATGGTCCATGTACTTGTAGTGGGATTTTTTTGGTACTCCCACAGACAGAGATGTACATGAACATATCAGGTATGGGACAGGAAATGAAACCGTACCATACTCGGGCCACATGACAACTCTGGAAACAAACAAACTCAGTGTTGCTTCTCTTTTTTTACCCGATTAACTAATGAGAGTGACATTACTACCATTTCATGCCATTAGACTAAACATGATATCGAGTCATGTATCATTCAAAACTAAAATTGAGATGACAGAGCAAACCAAAACTGAAATGCTAAGACTATTTCCTCCATTTTTTTTCCCTGTAAAAAGTGACAAATGTATTTCTGAGGGTAAAGTGCAACCTCCCAAAAATTTCCGAAGTGTAATGATAACCCAAAAAAATCTCACGGAAATTGCCTGACCGCTGACTCCAATGCAATCGCTTTTTGAATTCACTCTGTTAAAAGCCCTCCTGTTCTGTCTCCATTATATGGGTGTCTTTAAAGGTCGGGTTTACTTGGACATCTTAATTCACATGTGCATGACAGTCAGCCAATCAAAACATTGTCAGTAGGGCTCATACCAATATAAGGTGAATGAAAATTTGCATGATCACATCATCAACTATATATCATTTTGCATTATTTCCAATGGGGAGGGGGGAAAAAGCAACTTTTTGCTCCACTGTATTTAATACGAGATGGCCTCTATATATGATGACATGAAATGATGATGGAGTCATGAGTTAATGTCCGAGGGGAGGTGAGGGGATTTTCACACATTTACAGTCTAACTGGAAAGTAGTCACAGCTTCACTTTTTCAATAGATATTATTCACATGTTACAGCCTTATTCCACAATTGATGAATAATCATTCACACATTGATCTTTTTGACCACACAGGCAGGTGTGTGTGCCTTTCGAAATCGTGTCCCACCGAGCGACTATTCAGCAGCGGTGAACTCCAAGTAACCAGGAGAATCATCTACAGCATGATTGGTGGAAACAGGACACAGCTCACCTAAACTTTGAGATTCATGACAAATATGCTGGTACCTTAACTTGGTTTAATTCGTTCGGTAGCCGAGCCTATAAAGCAATGATTTATATATTTTTTATGGGTTTTTAATTAAGACATACAGCACTGCATTATATAATAATCATGAACATGCAAAGAAATAAACTGGCTTCATTAAGTGTAATTACTGTACATCCTGCAATATTCGTGTGTTGAATGTGTGTGAAGGGTGTGGCTTAATGAGTGCCATCAAGGTCTGCGGTCCAGTTGGCTGTTGTTCTCATTTTGTATTTTGGTTTGACTTTGTCCGGTTGAATAAATGGCTGGAAGCACATGGGCAACTGTGGCTCTCCTTGCCCACATGCGAGGACATGACAGTACCTTAGTTGAGTGAGCGGTGGCATATGGGGAGGGAAGATGCACATGATGATAATAATAAATTTCAACCAAGCAACGGCTCCCAAGTTAAATTAGCTCATACATTGGGGAACTCATAAGTCAAGGTATCACTATATTCATGGACTTGTGATTAAAAAAAAAAAATTAATCCCTTCTGCGTTTATTTGCTCCATTTTGGAATAAGTCTGTAACATGACAAAATGCGTAAAAATTGAGCGTTGTGAATACTTTCTGGATGCACTGTGTAAAGACTGAAAATATGCAGAAAAGATAAAGTTAAGGCATACCTCGGGGCCTACTTGGATCCCAAACCCAGACCCTGTCCTTACCTGAAGCTTGTCCTTGTATGTCTGCACCTCAGACACCAGCTTTTCCAACTCCCGGCTCCTGTCCTTGGAGGAGGAGAGCTCCTGCTTCAGCTTGTCGAGCTCATCCCGCAGCCCTTGGACCTCCTTGCCGTGGAGTTCTGAGGCCTGGGAGAGAGCCTTCTCTTGAGACTCCTTCAGCTCCTCGGCCTCGCTGACACCCTGCTGCACACTCTTCTCCTTGGAAACGGGGAAAGACCAGAAGTGACTATGGATGCTCTCATATGAGCCTTTTTTTAAAAAATATATACCGGTACATATAATTTTCTTTGCGTTTCATGAGAAAACATTGCAGAAATCAACAAAAGGCTACAATGTTAAATAGTCAATGTACAGCTGGACTTTTAGTTTTGTGGAGTGGCTTGACAATGTCACAAGTGATGGGTGGAGAAACTCTCTATGCGGGGGCGCTGTTAAGTAAATTAGCTGCACTGTTATATCACAATAAGGCACATTTAAGAATGGAAATAGGCAGCTAAAAAAAACCTCACTGACTATTCTGTATATAAGCAATATACAAAAATGAAAAGAGCACTTTCTCCGAATGTCTCCAATATGTATGCCTACTAACCAATGCGGAAATCTTCTCCTGGAGAGCTTTTATTTGAGCGCCATGGCTGTCTCGGGTCTCACACAATTCCTGGTCTTTGCGGGACAGAGCCTGCTCCCGTTGCTCATTGGAGAGAGCCACCTTGTTCTTTTCCTCCACCAATTGACACTGCAACTCCTCAAGCCGCCTAAGGGAGCCAACAGAGGGAGAAAGGTTAAAAGCACAAAAAAAAAAAAAAAAAAACAAAAAAAAAAAAAACTTGTTCTGAATGTCCATATGTTGGACGGATTAAATGTATGACTACTACAAGATCGTTTTGAGAGTTTTTGAGGGTTTAGGATTGAACACCTTTCTTTCTGCCGCAGATCTTCGTTCATTTTGCTCAGCTGCACCGAACTGTCACCGGACGCCGTCATCATGTCCGAAATGTCTTTCTCCAGTTTGCTCTTGTCCTCGCCCAGCTGCCGTACCTTCTCGTCGGCACTCGCCAGCTTCCTCTCCAGCCCTGAATTGCGACCAGGGCGGCCTGCTCATTAACTTTACCTACAAATATTGTTTATTCACAAAAAGAACCCTACATTTATTCATTCCTACCATTAAGCTGACTCTTGAGAGACTCCGATACTGTGCCCAGAGTTGTGCACTGCTCCTCCTTTTTGCTGAGCCTGTCAAGGGTTTCTGACAAACCAACAATGGCACATTTGGGATTTTTGTTTTTTGTAGCATTATCTCCCAAATGTATTTCAATAGGCATTGTCAATATATCGCTACGATACTGTCATAGAATTTGTTCAAGAACTAATTTGGTGCACCAGTGGACTTCAAGGAGATACACCACTGCTGCCTGTTGGCGTGTGGGGTAAACCAGTAAAACAAAAATGACTGCGGTGTCTTGGAAGCGGAGAATAGTTTTGTTCTGTGTGTTGTCAACTATGTTGTTCATAGCTTTGCAATAAAGCCGAGGTAGAGGGACTGCTGTCCCCTGCGTATTTTTAAAAGACGTAGTGCCAACGATGGTAACACAGCATGAGAAGCGGCACAACATAGACCCTTACGTTGTCAAGGGTAAGAATTGCCCACAAATGGAAAACAGGACATAAATTACATGTTTTCAAGAGGCATTGTATAAATATATCTCTATGATACTGTCATACAATTTGTTCAAGAACTAATTTGGTGCACCAGTGGACTTCAAGGAGATACACCACTGCTGCCTGTTGGCGTGTGGGGTAAACCAGTAAAACAAAAATGACTGCGGTGTCTTGGAAGCGGAGAATAGTTTTGTTCTGTGTGTTGTCAACTATGTTGTTCATCGCTTTGCAATAAAGCCGAGGTAGAGGGACTACTGTCCCTTGCGTATTTTTAAAAGACGTAGTGCCAACGATGGTTACACAGCACGAGAAGCGGCACAACATAGACCCTTACGTTGTCAACGGTAAGAACTGCCCACAAATGGAAAACAGGACATAAATTACATGTTATTGGACGGAGAATTTTGGGCGAATTGTTCATAAACAGAGTTGCTCATAAACTGAGGTTCCACTGTAGAATGTACGCAAATTATTATAGTTAATTACAGTTATTATGAATGTATATCGATATAAATAAAAGTTAAACTCACCAGGTCTCCAAGCTGCTGCTCCACAGTGTCTTTCTTTTGCTCCACACTGGCCAAACTTTGCTGTAGTGACAGGATTTCAGCCACTTTGCCTTCCAGCAATGATCTCAGTTCACCAACTAACTTTAGGACAAAAAAAGCCCCATAAAATAACATTACATTTTTGAAGAAATCATATTTGAAGTAAACCAGATCAACAACCAATACATTTGCTAACAACTCATGGACTAATTGATGCTTTGGACATTGGTAAAAGAAGAACCGATTCAACTTCTATACTTAAGTAAAATGAAAAGTGTAAACCGCATTTTCAGATAACTCTGTTAATTCACTTGACAGCATTTTTCAAAATGTGCTTGAGTACAGGGGGTGGGGGCATTCATACATGCTACCACAGTAACACTTACCTCAGTTTCTTGATTCTGAACATCTTCTACTTCTTCCTTCTGGTCGCTTTGGCTGCGACACAAACGGCGAACCATTTGCGCCACCATGTCTTTGGTTTCTCTCTCACCCTGGGCCCGCCGCTCTAACTCGGCTTCTATCTCCTCCAGCTCCTTCACCTTGAGCTCGGCTGCGTGGAGCTTCCCAAGGACATCCTCCATCTCCACCAGGTGTTGGTTCTCAGCTTTGTCCACCCCGGCGCGCACCGCATTGTCAAGGCTCTCCTTGTCTTCAGCAAGGGAGGCCAGTCGCTCCTTCAGGTCATGAATCTGCTTATCATGGGCGGCGGCAGCCTCCTCCAGGGCCTGGACGTGTTCCAGCTTCAGCCTCTCCAGGACCTCGGCGCTGTCCTTCTCGGCCTGGCTCAGGCGCATGCGCAGCTGCTCGTTGTCGCCAGACAGTTTTACGCCGGTGGCCTGGAGTTGGGCGGTCGCCTCGCCGTGCGCCTTCACCTGAGATTCCAACTTCTCCCGTAGCCCGGCCAGGTCCTGCTTCCGCTCGGCTTCCAGCGAGGCCAAACGGTCCCTCAGGGAGGTGATCTCCTCCAGGAGGGGAGAGATACCGCCAGCGTCGGGGTCGTCGGAGGCCTGCTGGGAGCCGAGACGGAGCTGCAGGTCGGCGACCTCTCGGGTGCGAAGTGAGAGGTCACGCTCCAGCTCCATTATGCGAGATTTTTCCGAGACGGTGGCAACCTTGAAAAGACGACATCTTCAGTTCAAAACGTACCCGACAGACTGAACCTGGGAGCTCTTTGCATGAAAAGACATTCAAACAATGATTCATATCATGGGAGTGAACGTGGAGTAACAGTTTACAACTGTGCAGCCCAGGTTTTGAAAATGTATGTCTATTGGGCTGCATTTGTATCGATGGGTACGGTAATTGCGAACGTATTTGGTTAACATCGACCTGGTGGATCACTACACTCCTGTTATATTGCCATTGTTTAAGATAATGTTTTCTTTGGGCTTTTACAGAATACAAGTCCCACATGAGATATTTGGTTAACATCGACCTGGTGGATCATCAGCTACACTCCTGTTATATTGCAATTGTTTAAACTAAGGTTTTCTTTGGGCTTTTACAGAATACAAGTCCCACATGAGTTTTGCACCGTTAGTGTGCACCGCATTCCAAATGATGCAAATTATATTTTCCTCAGATTTTTAAAGTCTATGCAAATGGCACAGGGCATAATTTTCAAGCCAGTGGTGGAAAATTTATTTGAACGTATTTAGAACAAACCTCCCAAGGCTAACGGGATGTGCCGTTCGTGTGCACCACATTCCAAATTATGCAAATGATATTTTCCTCAGATTTGTAAAAGTCTATGCAAATGGCACAGGGCATATTTTTCAAGCCAGTGGTGGAGAATAATTTGAATGTACAGTATTTAGAACAAACCTCCCAAGGCTAACGGGATGTATGCGGTGAAGTATGACGTCATGCCGCAACATTCCGAGCAGCACTGATGTCAAGTGGAAAAGGCAGATTATTAGTTTTTTTTTTGCATAACAATCTGGAATGCGGTTTATTATGGACAGCAGTGGGTTTTTTTTTTGCATAACAATCTGGAATGCGGTAAAGTATGCCGTCATGCCACAACATTCCGGGCAGCACTGATGTCAAGTGGAAAAGGCAGATTATTAACTGCAAGAAAGAAGAGGCAGAGAAGGTCCCCACCTGACCTCCAGTAATAGTTATCATTCCCACAGAGCAGAGCGTATGTCCCATGGAGCTGTTATTTTGAAGCCTCACAATTACTGTCACATTTCCTCTGCGACAAACACTGGTTTGCCGTCATTTCATTTTTAAGCATTGCATGATGCTTTTTGTTAAATCTGGGCTACGGGGAAGAACCATGTAAAATAATGTTTGTTATATACCGGGAATATTAATTCCAAGAATCGTATGTTGATATTGTGCTTTTTTTTTTTCTTGATTCTTTGAATGAAACTAATATTTCAGTGGTACCCTAATATACTCATGAATCAAACAAAAATAAAATGGAGCTAAGGAAGGGCTTGGAGAGAATACCATACAAATAAGCAGGACATATGGATGTCAGTAATATTAATTCCAAGAATCGGATGTTGATATTGTGCTTTTTTTTCTTGATTCTTTGAATGAAACTAATATTTCAGTGGTACCCCAATATACTCATGAATCAAACTAAAATAAAATGGAGCTAAGGAAGGGCTTGGAGAGAATACCATACAAATAAGCAGGACATATGGATGTCAGGAGGAACCTGGAAAGTTGACAGCTCTTCGCTGGAACTGGGGGAGGCGGGGGTGGGGGGGTTCAGGGGAGACATGCATCTGTATGGTTCAGCACTGATTGGATTATTACAAAAGCTGTCAGTCAAATGCGGTGCGACCCTGAGCGGCTCGACTCTGAATGTGCTTATGAAAGAATGTTAAGCCTCTGTCAAAGTTAGCAGGAAAAAACGCTTGAGGCAGAAAGTGCGGTTCCTCAGCAAGACAGAAATCAAGCCCGCCCTCAAGGAGAGGCCTCCCCTGTCCATCAAAGACGTGAAGGACGTGGCTATACCATGGAAAGTGATAATACGCTTTGAGGCAGAAAGTGCGGTCCCTCAGCAAGACAGAAATCAGGCCCGACCTCAAGGAGAGGCCTCCCCTGTCCATCAAAGACGTGAAGGACGTGGCTATACCATGGAAAGTGATAATAAGAAGTGTTTGCTTTCAGTGTTCTTGTGATTCACTACAGCGCCTCGAGACAAAAGTGCCTTGATGTCACAAGGTTTTTTTTTTTCTATACGTGGGCCGTCTTTTTTTTTTTGTCTCAAGACATGAGCAAAATTTGAGAAACAAGTGCATTTCAGACCCCCACGGCTCATTGGCGGCTATTTTAATTTTCATCCCTTTATTCAGACATTACTGCAAATTGATAGTGGAGAAAATGCACAAAAATGAATTAAATTTTGTCAGCAACATGTCGGAAAATAGGCAAAAACGGTGAACACTTTTGCGGATTATGTGACGGGCAAATGCCATATTCTGTGTTTCTATACATTACAATACTGGTGAGTTAAACTTCAAAAACGTGTTAAAATAGAACAAATTTGTGTGTTTTTTCAGTTTAGTGAACCACAAACCAATTCGGGTTGAGCCTCCGGTTGCCGGACCTCCGGATACGCAACACGATCGACTCTGCCATTTCGCTTTTTTTCCCTGCCCCAACGCAGCGCGGCATCCATTACCCTAGTGTCTTCTAACTCTCTTTGGAGCTTCTCAGCTTTGGTCTTTTCAAAGTGCAGGCTCTGTTCAAGCTCCTGAATGTGGACATGCTCCAGCCTGGTCTGCGTCTGTTAGTACACAAGGGGAAGAGAGGGAGAGGGAGAGAGAGAGAGAGAGAGAGAGAGAGAAAGAGAGGGAGAACACACCAGTGCCACCATCACATGCCAGCCCAACACAGACAAGAGAGGAAGAGGAAGACAGGGCATGGGGGCCAGAATGGATGAATGCATGGATGGATACAGGAGGACCCACCACGAGTTCTTGTGCAACACTCAGGTTGCACCATGAACACAAAGATGGTGACTATGCAGGTAGGAGAAGAGCAGTTGATGCACATGTGCAGGTTGGTTGATTGGGGTGGGGTGGAAACATGCAAACAGACACCAGGTGAGTAGGGGGTGGGTG